GGGGCTTGTATTTAAATTTAGAGGGAAGAGGAGTTTTCAGATGGCAAGGAGTGGTGAGGGAAGATCAGAGCATATGGATGCTGATGCAGAAAGTTAGGAGGCCTGCTCTTTCTTACTTCTGGGCAAATGTGTCCAAGGCCCATAAACACTAAGATTTGACTTGCCTACATCATCATAATAAGAACTAATCTTCACAGATTCTTTATTATGAGTCAGTTTTCTAAGCACTATATGAATATGTGGGAGTGGGGGCAGAGAGAAAGAGAATCTTCACAACAACATCATCATGATCTCCACTTTATAGATGAAGTAATGAAAGAATAAACCAAAGATAACGTAATTAGTAAGCCTATCAGCTGTGATTTTTCCATTACACTGTATTTCTTACTTGGGAACCCAGGAAAGCTTTATTTCTAAACCATCAGTATCTCTATACTGGTTAGATGCACAAAGAGACAAAATAGCTGAAAAATTTTATTATAATTATTTGGTTTAGGATAGACCTCCATCATGTCCTATCTTATAAAAGGAATTTGGCGTCCTCATGTATCACAAGCAAGGAGTGGAATAGAACCTAGGCATAGAGTAGGAACTAAGAAGAGAAAGCAATACCAACTTGTCAATGGCCTCTGAAACATCTCAGATAAATTGAAGCATCTGATTCATCCAATTAGCAGCTTTGTTGAGTCACTTTCTGTGTTGGTGTCAACGTCTACATTTGAAGGATCTGAGTTCCCTGGGCTTATCAGAGAGACTATACAGTTCTGAGTAGACAGCTAATAAAGGGAGAAGTTGTGGCCTGGTTCCTTTCTCCCACATTTTTGTTTTTGTGTTTTATTTGTATAGCTTGAAAAATAAGATGGGGCATTTTGATCGTCTCTTCCTGTCTGACTTCAGCTGAGAGTCCTACCTAATATAGATATGGGCTTTTTGTGATCTTTTACACAAGTTCATATTTTGCATCTCTCTTCCTCTTTCTCTCCTCATTCCCTAGGGAGTGAGAGAAGTCAGGTGTAATACATGTGGCTGTTTCTTTAGGGTAGTAATAAATCATTCTCCTTATTACCTCTCACAATACCCTTTTAATTGCTATTTGGGTGACTTTAAATGTGAAATAAACTGTTCATTTTAATCATGTTCCTTTTTCTATACACTCCTATCACCAGAAACATAAGCTGCCTTGGAGAAGTTAGAAAAATATTTTGAGATACTAGACAGAAAATTAAAACATATTTTTAGAGAACCCTGTATGTCGAACTAAGTTTAATTGAAGGGATTTTACTTGGATAAGAACATTGCCATCTCAAAACATTTAATTCTCCCTCAGTGGTGATTGTGATGCAGGTTTGGGGAGGATTTCCCTGAGTGGGCCAGAGTTAGAGACAAAAGGAAAGTTTATTTGAGAAGCAATAATGCAACAAACACGTGGTCTCCTCTCCGAGTCAGAGAATTAGAGTGTTTGAGGAATTTGGTTTAAATCTGTTTTGTTTCCTGGTATGGGTACTGCAGCATTAAAGGCATAGGGAAGTAGTTGTGTAATCTCAG